AATATAAAATTAAATAGAAAATAAAATATAAACTTTTATATATACCACAAAATGGTTTAGGAAAAACTATCCTAAATCAATTTTTGACCTGTCATTGCTTTTCTTTAAAAAACTTACCTGACTCAACTCGATACTTTTTTTTTACGAAAATATATATATCAAATTGGAACGAATCGAAATCTATTAGAAATTGGTTGTTTTGTTATCCTATCAACTGGTTCATTTTGTTGTAAAGCTTATCCAATTAAAAATACAAAAAAAGAAAGGAAATAAACGAATGGGATGTTATACAGGCACTTCCATTAGTATTATCTTTTTATAAAATTTATCTAATTAAAATAATAAACAAAAATATAAAAACACAAAAAGTAAAAAAAATAAAGAAAATAAATTGTCCCTCAATTGGATCGGGTCAAACCGAAAAGAATCGGATATGAATTTTTTTACCATTCATACCCATCATTACTTTTGTTGTAAAGTTTATCTAATTAAAAAAAATAAAAAATAAATAAATTAGAGTATCACGCGGACACATCCAGTAGGTATTTTTTACAAAATTTATATAGATTAAAAATTAAAATTAAAAAATAACAAAAAAAAGGAAAAATAAAGTGCCATAAATTCACCTTAAATGAGAGTTAAACAAATGTCAACATATAAAAATTTATGTAATGGATGAATTGACAAACGAATATTTAGATTACATCTTAATTGTATATAAAAATATTATTTTTATTAATATTAGAAGAAATGAGCTTCTAGATTTGAGAGAAACCAAAATTTCTAGGGGTTAATCACTAAAGATATGGATGCAAATAATAAAAAATGATACGAGGGTTAAAGAAGAAAATGAAAATGTTGTTTGTGATAAAAATGAATGATGTAAGAAGATTCAAAATAAGAATAGCGACAGAATGGATATCTGTTATTTCTAAGATATCCGTATTCGAATTTATTTAATATTTATAATATTTAAATCTTTTTAAATATATGTTTAAATTAAATATCATTATCTAAATCTAAATCCGTTTAAATATGCATTATTTGTCTCAATATTTGTATCCATTAAAATATTTGTTTATTTAAATTTTTTGTCAAAATATAAAATAAATAAGAATTTAATTAAAATTCAAGTTAACTCTTAATTAATAATAAATAAAAATTATTTTTTAAGGTTTGAAACCAAAAACAAACATAAAATTTTATACATTTTACGTATGTAAATGGGTAAAGGATTTGTATATAAATTTGGATATACATTATTATTCATTAAAATTTAAACATATTTAGATATTAGATATCTAGGAGATATTATTCTGTTTCGAATCCATCAAAGATGATAATTTCTTATCCGAATCCATTAATTATTTGTTTATAATTATTTGAATCTAACACAAACAAATTGGATAATAACATATATCCATTTATTTACTAGCCATTATCGTCCCCAATTCAAAATTACAACTTCACATTATTTTTTTTCTTTTTTGGCATTTCATACAATTGACATGGATATAAGATATAAAACTTAATTTGTTTTTGTTATATATACTTTTTATTAAATTAAGACATTAAATAATAAATTTATTTATATAATATATATAAATATAAAATTAAATAAATAGTTAAAAATATAATTATACAAATTTGAGACAAGACGAAACACCTTTAATCCGCCTTTGACTTGGCATCAATTTCCAAAAAAAAGAAAAATCTCAAAATGATCTCAAATTGAAAGATGCACCTATTGGATTCACATGTTATTTTGTTATCCATTCCTTCATTGACATTTTTCTTAAAAAATTTATTTATCAATTAATTTTATTGTAAAATTTATCTAATTAAAAAATTAAAAACAAAAAAACCAAAAGACAAAAGAAAAATAAAACAAAATAGGATGTCATATGTACAAATTTGTTTGCTTTTTATTAATTGATCTAATTAAAAAAGAAAAAAAGAAAAAAAAATTGAGCTGTCATGTAATATTAGTAATAATAAATTTTCCTTGAAAATTTTTTATCATGGATTTAAAAAAAGAAAAAATTAAAAAAAAAAAACTAAAACTAAGAAAAAGTTGAAAAAATAAATTCGTTACTACGTCAACACTTCAAGTAAAACCATTTTTTTAATAAAATTATTTAATTACTAAAAATAAAATTTTAAAAAAATAAAAAAATAATTTTAATCAATAATATTATATGAACATAAAAATTAACTACTAAAAATATTTTAAAAAATATTATTAAATATAAGAAAAAGTCAGAAAAATGAAAAAAAAATGATTAACTCGTGACATCATTTAGGACAAAAATATTTATTAAAAATTAAAAAAATTAAAAAATTGACATATATCACCTCTTATGGAACACACAAAAATTTAAAATATAAAAAAGTATTTATTAAATAAAAAATGAAATTAAAAAAAAAAAAGTTGAAATATAGGAAAAGAGATGTACAAAATTAATTCTCCATTCATTTCAAAATATTTATCATATATTAATTTCACGAAATTTAAAAATATATTTTGATTTTAATATATTTAATATTAAATATTAATTTTTTTTTTATAAAATTAAAGTTTTATTATTTTTACTGTCAAAAATAAAAAAAATCATAAAATATAATTTTAAAATATAAAAAAATAAAAATTTTAAATATTATAATTTTAAAACATTCTAAAAAATATGAAAAAAAAAAAAAAGACAGAAGGAGTATATAATATAATGAGTCAATGACTTCAGGATTAAAAAAAAAAAATTTGCCAACTGAGTTTAGCTCAGCTTCGCACGGGGAAGTGACGTGGATTCGTGGCCTAATGCCCTCCCGTGGGTAAGGTAAGTATCGTAGATGGAGTAGACGGTAGATGGGGTCAAGGGCAGTTTATAAAATTTTAAAAAATAAATATCTCATTTCAGTCCCTAATATATTTGAGGTATATTAAACCATTTTCGCTTATTAATGTCAAATTGAACACAAGTAAATTTCTCTTTAATTTCCCCTGTTTCCAGATACTAATAATATTTTTTTAAAACAGTCTCTAATTTTTTTAAAAAAAGTGTCTCTAATAATGTTTTATTGAATAATTACATAAATTTTTAATTTCATAAACAATGTTAAGAGATGAATATTTATTATATTTTTATTTTTAATTAATTTTTTAATTTTTTTCAAATATATCTTAATTCAAATATATCACTATTTTAACTTCGTTTATAAAATTTTAAATTTTTATTATTAATATAATTAATAATTTCTCTAATTGAATACTCATGAAATTTCCTCTTCATATTTAATACTTCATATTTAATATGTTTAGTCTAGCTGACACTTTTATAAGAAGTACGGTCGCAGTAACACTATTCTAAAAGTACCTTATAAATAAGGTAAAATAGTGTCCGGCAAATTTAATATATAATTGTTGTAGAATGTTGAAAACATATTTGATAGTATTTTTATACATTTTTAATAAATAAAGAATAAAATAGGCAAATTTATTAATTAAATCATAAGTATTTAGGTGAAAAATAAATAAATTACAGAGATATTTGCTAATTATAATAAAAATAAATATGTTCAATAAAAATGGAGAAAATAGAAAAATTATGAGAAGTTTAATTCTCATTATAAAGTTGTAAATTATTAAAAAGTAAAGTAAGGATATAAAATTTTTTATTAAATATTTCTTATAAAAATTAGTACTTCTTGAAGAAATTTTATTTTATAACTTCGTTTAAAAGTTCAAATTTGCTTCTCACATAACTTATAATTCTTAAAATTTAAAAAAACAAACATCCAATTTCTGCTTTTATAGTAAATAAGCTCCTCCGTAAAGACCAACCACAAACTTTTAACTTAAAAATAAAGCAGAATGATACCACTTACTAAAGCCCATACCACCCTTCCAGAACATAAGGAAGAGAACATATAAGCCTTTGGGCCTTTTGTTTTCTTTTGTTTAAGTTAGGCCCATTTTAGACTAAAATGGGCTATTTCTGTGAAAGTTGGGCCATGTGTTTGTTTAAGTACTGATTCAATTTGATTAAATCATACTAGAATCATTGAATTTGGGTGCCAAGTACTAACAAGCAAATCAAGTCATTTTTATTGTTCAATCAAAGTCATATTTTAGTTCCTGGAAAGAGAAACTTTTGACTGTGTCTACAAACTACAGTATATAGAAATATCAAATGCCGTCATACCGTCAATACAAATGAAGAAACAGAGTGGAACACCCGTCTAAAAAAAAAAATTAAAAGAAAATCAATACCTCCCTTTCTACCACAAAAAGTTTTCCAAATTTCACATCAAGAATAACAAACAAATGATTTGGGCTCTAAATTAAATATAAAAAAATTTGGATTAATAAAGATCCTAAACATTTTTTACTTACGTTTGGTGTGGTATTATGGTATTATAAAAAAAGTTTCAGTCTGAACTTGTCTTAAACTGTATAATAAATCAGACAATCTTGTCCGGTACAATAAATTTAACGCAAAGGAGAACAATTTTCAAGGGGGATTCGTCATTGCTGATAAATAAGCCATGGTATCTAATCGAAAAACGGGCTGATGTATTTTTTTTCATTGTTCTTAAAGGAAAATGTGGCTAAGCCACCTTCAAATAAAAGAATCAACCAATAAATTGACTTTGATTAAGATACAGTGACTTTGAAATGAACTGAGAGAAGGTGGTCAAGTCAATATACAAACAAACAGAAAAGCCAGGTTGAGGTCTGAAGTCTGACCAAAAATAAGGCAGAATCCATAACGGTTGGTATGAAGAGATTTTCCATGGGTTAACGTGCAAACAAGAGTTTCACACAACGACCACGAATTCTATAAACCTTGCCAGGTCATTTGGTAGGCGGGTACAGCTCTGTCCAAGAAATGTCCCTTTCTGAGGCCATAACAAGCCCAGCAACATCATCTTGTTTCCCGCGTGTGAATTATATGTTTACTTTGTGAATGTGAACTGCCCATTCCAACAACAAATACCAGGGAAAACAGAGCCGAAGAGCAAATTCATTCTTCATAAATATATAAAAAGATATATAGTTAGGTGATCTTCCTGTTTTCAGTATTTGACCAAGTGAAACACATGTACAAGCCCAAATCAGGCCCATCATTTTCTATTTTGGTTGCTTCTTTTCAATGCCAAATTCAAAAAAGAAACGAAAAGAAAAAAGAAACGCAAGCGGAGACAGCAGAGTCAAGCATTCTCTCTTATCAAACAATACCAAATGTCGTCAAAATGAACAAACCAACTACACCATTTTGTTTTGAGAGAGAAACTCCCAGAGCCAAATTAAAGAATGAGAACTATAACAAATCACCATTTTTGTAACTTCCTTTTGTTCTTCATTTTCCTAACCATCTTCCCAACAATTTCCATATCGGCAGACACCTTAACTGCCACTCAGTCTATCATACATAACCAAACTCTTGTCTCCCCAGGTGATGTTTTCGAGCTTGGATTCTTCACCCTAGAACATCCAGGGGAATGGTACGTAGGGATATGGTACAAGAACATTCCTGACAGAACCTACGTGTGGGTTGCCAATCGAGACAACCCACTTGCAAACTCGTCTGGTATTTTCAAGTTGGAGGATGGAAACCTCTTTCTTCTTGACCAAGGACAGAATCTTGTATGGTCATCGAATATAACAAAGGGTGAAAATCCTGTTGCGCAGCTGTTAGACTCTGGAAATTTGGTTGTAAGAGAAGCAAACACCAATAATGAGACCAATAACTACCTTTGGCAAAGCTTTGATTATCCTACAGATACGTTGTTACCAGATATGAAGCTAGGGTGGGATCTAAGTGCAGGTTTTAACCGGTTCTTAACATCTTGGAGAGCTATAGGAGACCCTTCATCAGGGGATTTCTCGTTCAAGCTAGATTATCGTGGATTTCCTGAAATATTCTTGTGGAACAAGCAAGAGAGAAAATACAGAAGCGGTCCATGGAACGGTCTAAGGTTTAGCGGTGTCCCGGAAATGAAACCTATTGATTATATCACCTTCAACTTTGTCACCAACCAAGATGAGGTATATTATTCATTTTCTATAGCAAACAAAAACTTGCTTTCCAGGTTGATAGTTAATCCAACTGGGACTCTTCAAAGATTAACATGGATTCCCGATACCAATCAATGGAATCCATTTTGGTACGCACCAAAGGACCAGTGTGACAATTACGGGGAGTGCGGTCCATATGGTATATGTGACAGCAATGCATCTCCAGTTTGTAAGTGTCCAAAAGGGTTCAGTCCAAAGAATCAGCAAACATGGAATTTAAGGGATGGGTCTGATGGGTGTATTAGAAAGACAGATTTAAATTGCACCAAAGACAAATTCTTGCACTTAACAAATATGAAGCTACCAGAAAGTACGACTTCATATGTGGACAGGACTATGAATATTAAGGACTGTGAAGCTTTGTGCACCAGGAACTGTTCTTGCACGGCTTATTCTAACTCCGATATTCGAAATGGAGGCACAGGCTGTGTCATTTGGACTGCTGACCTGATTGATTTGAGGCAATATACAGATGGTGGACAAGATCTCTTTGTTAGATTGGCAGCTTCTGATCTAGGTGCGTTTCGAAATTCCCTCTCTTTAATAATCTTCACTTGGATTGTTTTCATTATAACTAACTATCCATAACCTGACTGGTTGAAACTATCCATAATCTGACTGGGTTGAATTGAGTCAATTAGAACAGGGGATCCCCTATGTTAGAGGTTGAGGACTTGAGGCTAACATTAGTTGAACCAACCTTGGAAACATTATCTTAACCCAAGAAAAACCAAAAAGAGGTATGGAAACATTGAATGCCAGAAAGTGTTTGGTATGGAGCTTAACTAACCCTAAAATTCTAGAGGTGCAAACTCTTGAAATGTTTTCCTTTTGGCAAGACTAGCTATACATCACAGGCGACTGCGATAAGTTGATGGTTAGTCAATATTTTTTAAGCCACGTGTTTCAGAATTCAGATCATTGTTATTTCAATTCTAACATGAATTAAATGGTGAAAAGGTTGTCTGCCATGGGTTAAAGTCCGAGTTTTGGAGTGAAGGTAGCTGGACTCCTCTTTCTGATTGGTTCCGTGACATAATGCATTGCTCAAAAGATGTTACCGTTTACACTGTCCCCACTCCCCACCAAACAGTCCTCGTAGACTGTTAGTAGAGATACTAGAGTCTTGAATGGTTCCACAAAGTGAACCAATGATTTGACTTTGGTACGTTAACTGGGAGCCGACATTGTTTTGTGGTTCTTTTCATTTTCGCTTTCTGAAAGTTAAAATGTAAGCAATTATAGTGTTAATACTTATCAAAAAAAAAAAATTATAGTGTTAATAGTCCATTAGTCTATAACTAGTATTTCAATATTTTGGGCAGGACAATAATTCTGTGGGTCCAGTTGGGAAGTTTTTTCTTTTTCTATTTTTTTTTTCTTTTTGATAAAAAAAGTCTGTTCAACTTTAGAAAGGATTACAAGGCCTTAGAGTAAAAAAAAACAAAAGCGTATCAAATCTTAGCATGCTGGTTTACAGGCCTTTAGCCTAGTTCTTATTAAGTAAAGCATATTGCATAATGAGGTTTTTTTTTCATGGATTCGAGCCAATTAACTTTGCCATTAGTACTTTTCCAGTCAATAAATTAATGAACAAATCAACTATGACAAGTCAAATTTGTATGCTACCGGGTTAAAAAAATTCTAGGCTTTTAAGGTTCGGTACCTAATGATCCACTTTGGCACTTTCTTTTTCCTTTACCCCACTAGGGGTAGGATCTGTTGAAATTTAGGAAAAAATTAGGTCCATATAAGATAGTTAATAGGCCCTTGGGGTCATAATCCACTTTAAGCGGTGTAATATTTAGGCTCAAATCGCATAAACTAAGTAAGTGCCACTGGTCTAAGAAACTGTCCTTGTCAAAGACCCTCTTTAGCTTGGGACAGGTGGATGTGAGAGGACTATTGAATTTTGATTTATCTTCTCAGCTGTCAGCGACATTATCCTAGAAATAGGTTCCCAACCAATCATATTATCTTCCGGAAGAAAACTTTTTGTTTGCTGGTGGGTTGGGTATCATTGCGACAGAGGATTTTCATCTTTTTAAACAGTTTTCAGTGAATGCATTGAAAATGCTGCTTTGGAATGGGTAGGTAGACTTTAGGTTTAGGCAAAACAACTTTGGCGTTATGCTTGGTGAAGCCATAGTAATTACTGGTTCTGTAACAAGGACGGTCGCTATCCCATTCATGGTTTGCAACTTTGCATAATTCATTGCTTGGGCTGGGTGGAAGGTGACCTAGCAGAATAATGGTTGGCGGCAAATAGCCTAGCCAAGCTGGTCATTCACACTGGGAACCATTCTCCTGGCAGAGCCAGCCGATACGGTTTATGTTGCTGTTGTTGTGTGTAATGTGTGTTTGTCATTTCCATTTTATATGCGTCTACTCAATGTTTTTCACCTCTCTAATACGGCGCCACAGCCATTGTAATTTCACATACTAAAAAGAACTTATCCCTTAAACTTTGATCATTGACATGCTGAGAAAATTCCTGACCATAGCCTTTGCCTAATGGTAGCGTATCATCTCTTTTAGGAAGATAGAATACTACTGGTCTCAGTTTGGAAATTCTAATTTCTTGTCTGTCCTGGGGTTTATGGGCTATGGCCCATAATGTAATAGTAGCAACATAAAAAATTGGAAAACTCCGAAGTGCTGTGGTTTTGAACTTGTGACTGATGCAGCATTGTAGCATGTTTTAAGTGGTTTCATGTTCATTGGTTTGTAGCTTATAAAGGTACAGCTACAGCCAGTCAACTCGAAGTGCAATTGCAATAATACTATCATATAGCGACAATTGAGCTTAGCTCAACTAATTTTTTTTGTCCACATAGCTCAGGAATTTGGAGAGAATTTTCTCAAGTCTGAACTCTTCTAGTAACTCCATTTGTGTGACTTGTGAAAGTAAAATAGGGTAGGACTTCAGCTTACGAACATCGTTGACTTTGCATAAAAAGTCTTAATATAATGGCTAAAACGAGTACTGATTAACTCTGGTTTTTTCAGAAAATGGTGGGAACACAACTACTCTAATTATAGGCATTACAGTGGTTGCTGGCGTTTTGCTTTTAGGACTGATAGCCTATGTCATATGGAAGAGGAAGGCAGTGAAAAGAAGAGGAAAAATACAAATGAAAGGTAATTGGAGTCTGGATGAGCAAGTGAATGTAGTTATCCCTGCATTTTATTTTTCAGGTGTCAAAGATTTGTCTTTTGATTCTTCAGGTCCTCTTGAAAGAAGCCAAGATTTGCTATTGAATGAAGTGATTATATCAAGTAAGGAGTACTCGGGGGAAAGTCAACCTGATGAACTAGAATTAACGTTGTTTGATTTTGACACCATCGCAACAGCTACAAACAACTTTTCTGATGAAAATAAACTTGGACAAGGTGGTTTTGGCTGCGTATACAAGGTAAATTCAATGATTCAAACATACTATTGCATGCAAATAGCCACAGAAGCATAAAAATCTAACCCTGAAAATATGTGTGCTAATGCCAGGGTAGGTTGGTTGAGGGTCAACAAATAGCTGTAAAAAGGCTCTCAAGGAACTCTGGGCAAGGGACTGAAGAATTCAAGAATGAGGTTAGATTGATTGCAAGGCTTCAACATAGGAATCTTGTTCGCCTTCTTGGTTGCTGCAGTGAGATGGATGAGAAGATGCTAGTCTACGAGTACATGGAACACAGAAGCTTGGATTCTGTTTTATTCAGTTAGTCCCTCTCACAACTTAATGAACTCAATTGGTTCTCTTGAGATAAGAAATTTGATTAAGGTAACAATTCTAAATTCAAGGCATTTATGGTAGTTGAAAACTTGTTCTAGATAAAGCAAGAAGCTCCTTACTAAATTGGCAAAGGCGCTTCAACATTATTTGTGGTATTGCTCGAGGAATTTTGTATCTTCACCAGGATTCCAGATTTAGGATCATCCATAGAGATCTCAAAGCAAGCAACATTTTGCTTGACGGAGAAATGAACCCAAAAATTTCAGACTTTGGCATGGCTAGAATTTTTGGCGGTGATCAAGCAGAGGCAAATACTAAGAAAATAGTTGGAACTTAGTAAGTACTGTATACTCGATTTCTCTACTTGCTTGAAACTGTAAATACAAAAGTTTCTCTTCCTAATTTCCTGTGACATGCAGTGGTTATATGTCACCTGAATATGCAATGGATGGTCTCTTCTCAGCAAAATCAGATGTTTTTAGCTTTGGTGTTCTGGTGTTGGAGGTTGTCAGTGGCAAGAAGAATAGAGGATTTTATCACTCAAACAGTGAACTCAACCTTCTTGGCCATGTAAGCGGAGTATCACATCATATTTCTACTGATGCTTATACTCTTAATCACTAGCGAGAGCTAGTCATGTCACTGAATCATTTTGAATTGGATCCACATTATTGCAGGCTTGGAGATCATGGAAAGAAGGGAAGGGATTGGAGTTAATAGATTCAACAGCAGGTGATACCTACCAAGCACATGAAGTACTTAGGTGCATACAGGTTGGCCTTTTGTGTGTGCAAGAGCGTGCAGAAGACAGGCCAAGTATGTCAACCGTGGTTTTGATGTTGAATAGTGACACTGCAACAATGTCCCAGCCCAAAACCCCTGGTTTTTGCCTAGGAAGAAATACACTTGAAACTGATTCATCTACCAGTAAGCAAGATGAATCGTGCACTGTGAACCAAGTCACAGTTACAATGCTAGATGCCAGGTAGTGAAAGGTCCGGCCTCATTTAAGGTGTTTGTATGTATATAAAAAAGTTACCTTTAGTATATTCTGTTGTGATTTTTTCTGACAGCTTTTGCTGTAATCTCAAGGCAGTTTTGGGTAGTTATGGATCTTTTGTGGTATAACTTGTAAGAAATATCTTCCATTAATAGTAGTCTTTTTAGTTTCAAAATTTTAAGTCAACAAAAATGTGAGTCATGGTTTACTCAGTCATCGTCCCTTCTGGTGGCAAAAATATAACTCAACAGATAAGGACTCAAGCAAGAAGTTGACATCATGCAAATTTAGTGGTGGCTCATGGAACAACTGAAAAACTAGGTAGCAATAACACTAGTCAAAAGACATTCTAAATAGCTTTCATACAACATAATCTTCTGTATACTAGTGTTGTAATTTTTATCTCTAAAAGTTTATTTCATTACATAATTTTTTATACTATGATAATAATGATAAATACTAATAAATTAATTTCGATTTTAGTGTAATACAAGTAAAATTTGATAATTTTTTTATATAATTTTGATTTTGATAATTTTTAATAAAATTTTGATAACCTTCTATACAATTTTGTCAACCTATGATATTAGTTTGGTAACTTATAATATAATTTTGGTAATCATTGATAAAATTTTAATAAACTCTTGATGTAATTTTAGTAATTATCCTTTTGGTAACTTAAAATATATGTTTAATAATCATTGATAAAAATTGTGTCATTATATATTTAATAATAAATTTTCATAAAAAACTATGGGTTCAATTACAATATAATTTCTTTTTATATAATAACATTATTTTTTTATTTAAATTTATAATTTTTTAACTAAATTTTTTATTGAATAGGTTCATAATAAATTTATCATAATCTCCCAAGATGAAAATTTTAACTTCATTTTCACTACTAATTAAGTTTCAATTCCTTACAACTTTAAATATAAAAAAAATTTATCAATGATTGATAATTAAGTTATCATTAATTTATTATTATGTTATTAGCGATTTACTATTAATTTATCAATTATATATTATTAAATTATCAATGATTTACTACTAAATTATTATTGATTTTTTACTAATTTATGAATTATTTACTACTAAGTTATAAATGATTTAATTTACTACTAAGTTACTGATGATTTGTTATAAAGTTATAAATTATTTACTATTAATTTATCAATAATTTACTATAAAATTATCAATGATTAACTAATATACTACTAAATTGTAACTGATTTACAATTAAGTTATTAGTAATTTATTATTAAGTTATAAAAAATTTACATATAAATTATTAATAATTTACTATTATGTTATTATGCATTTACTATTATATTATTATTGATTTACAACTTAGTTTTTTTAATTATTTTCTACAAAATTATCAAAAATTTATTACTAAATTTGCCATGATTAATTATCAAGTTATAACTAATTTATATTAAATTATCTATAATTTACTATTAAGTTATTGATTATTAACTACTATATTTTTAAGTTTCCAATGATTAATTACTAAATTATCACTAATTTACTATTAAATAATTAATGATTTACTACTACTAAATTGAAACTGATTTACTATTAAGTTATTACTAATTTACTATTAAGTTATCATTTATTTATTATCAAGTTATCAATGATTAACTATTAAATTATCATTTATTTTTTAATAACCTATAATTGATTTACTAATATGTTGTTATACATTTATAATTATAAAACATGGAATTTAAAAAATCCACTAATAATATATGAGATAATTTTCTTTTTATATAATAACATTATTGTTCTATTTCAAGTTTAGAATTTTTTCACTAATTTATTTTATTGGATAGGTTCGTTGTAAGTTTATCTTAGTTCTCAAATGAAAGTTTTGACTTCGTTTTTACTAGTAACTATGGTTCAATCCTTAGCAACTTCAAGTATAAAAAAAGTTTTCAATAATTAGCAATTAAGTTATTAGTTATTAACTACTAAGTTATTAATGATTTTATTTCTAATTTATGAATGATTTGTCATTAAGCTATGAATGATTTATCATTAAGTTATAAATGATTTCTATTAAATTATTGGTGATTTATCACTAAGTTATAAATGATTTATTATAAAGTTGTAAATTATTTACTACTAACTTACCAATTATTTACTAAAATGTTATTAATGGTTAACTAATTTACAACTAAATTGTCACTAATTTATAACTAAGTTATTAGTAATTTACTATTATGTTATTAATGATTTATTTCTAAGTTATTAATTTATTATTAAATTATCAATGATTTACAATTATATTTTTATTAGTAATTTACTATTATATTATTAATGATTTATTTCTAAGTTATTAATTTATTATTAAATTATCAATGATTTACAATTATATTTTTACATATTTAGTATTATGTTATCATTAATTTACTACTTAATTTTTAATTATTTAGTACAAATTATCACTGATTTACAACTAAATTATCTATGATTCACTATCAAGTTATTACTAATTTATATTAAATTATGTATGACTTATTATTAAGTTATCACTAATTAATCAATGACATACTATTAAGTTATGCTGATTTAATTTTTAGTTTTTAATGAATAACTACTAAATTATAAATTATTTATTACTAATTTATTATGATTTACTATTAAATTATTTACGATTTATTATTGTTAATTAATTATTACTAAATTGAAACTGATTTACTATTAAATTATTAATAATTTACTATTAAATTATTATTGATTTATTACTAAGTTATCAATAATTAACTAGTAAGTTATCACCTTTTTTTTTAAGTTATCTTTAATTTAGTAATATGTTATTATGCATTTACAACTATATTATAATTAATTAACCATTAAGGTATTATACATCTATTATTATATTATTATAAATTTACTAAAAAAATCAATTATTTACTATTAAATTATCATTTATTTATTGTTAAATTATTAATGATTACTATTAAGTTATATTGAATAATTTAAGCTTTCAATTATTAATTATTAAGTTATTAATTATTTGCTATTATATTATCATTAATTTGTGTATATAAAAAAATAAAGTAACCATAATGTATCTTAGATAATGTAATTTGTAAGGTAGAGAATGAAAGAAGAAAAAGTTTAAGTTTAAATAGCTTGAAAAGTATGAATAAATGCTTTTAATTTACTATCCGTATTCTAACATATAATAATAATTTAAAATAATAATTTTTACACTAATGCAAGTAAAATTAAATAAATATATACAATATATTAAGTCAATATTTTTAAGATATTCTTCAAATTTTTTAAGTCATGATAAAATAGTATATATTTAAGATAAGCTTTATTAATGATTTGATTGAATTATTAGTTATTGTGTTTTCATACCTATTAAGGAAGTACAATTGCATATAAAAGATTGAAAATTTTGAAGTGTTCTGCATTAATGAAAGTGATAAACTTTGCCTTATATTTCTAGTTTTAAATATACACATTTGGGTAAAAAATTTGTTATATATACGATAAAAGTAATGGGAATAAATTTAATAAATAAAATTTATAAAAATTAAATAGACAACAATTTTTAAAAATATTAAATTTACAATAATTACTTTTGCATTCGCTATAAAAATTTTTTTTTCTATTAAATGAAAAGATGGTATATTTTTATTTATTACTTCATTCTTATTATTGTAATTCAAAATAACTTTTTTTTATATATATTTCGATACCAATCAACTTCTCAGTTTGGAAAAAATAAAGAATATTTCATACTTTTCATAAAAAATTTCTTCTAATAAACGAAAATATAATATATTTTTAATTGTTGCGTCATTCTTATTATTATCACTCAAAATGACTCTTTTAATAATTTGATGACAATTAACTTCTCCATTTGAAAAAAGTAAAAAATATTGTATGGGAACATAACAACCTAAATAATATTTAACTTTATATTGTCTTCATGAGTGGATTTGAACTATGATATGATCTTTTATGAAAATTTTGAATTTTTCGCTCAACTCATATAGCAAAAACTTGATTAACAAAAGAATGATTATAAACTCGTTGATTTAAATTAACATTTTTGTAATACGAATTTCAAAACCTCAAAAAAAGATATATCCTTTAATCTCTGTAAAACTTGGTATAAGGATTTTTTTTTTCTAAAATTATCATTAAAATCTCCATCACTTTTGCATTTAAATTATTATTTTGTTGTGTTTTCATTTTATTTTGCAATTTATTACTAGTGTCATAAAAGTATAACTAAAATAACATTGATTAATCAACTCAAACTTGAAATAATTTAAAACTTATATAGAATAAAAATAAATTTCTTACTCATTTTAATTTTTAATTTATTTAAAAATAATATAATACACATAATTATAAAAATAAAGTAACTATGCTCGATTTCAATTGATTTTAAAAAGTTAATAACTTAGTAGTTATTTAAAACCCGAAATGATTGAACATAATAAAATATGAATTGAAATAGTAATCTAATCAAAATCTAATATTAGTTATTCATCTTCTATAACAATTTAAAAGTTCTTTATTTAAGTTTTTTCCCATCATCTTTAATGGTTTGTTTTTATTGTCTTTGTGATTGAATTAGTTAATTAATTTTAAAAATATTTTTAAAGTGAAATTGCAATTCTAAGTAATTGAATATACTTCTTTTTTTCATTTGAATTTATAATGCTATGATTCTAATTTTTTAAACGAAGAAAGGAATGTGTCAATTATTAAGTCAAAATTATTCAGGTGCATAAGTGAATAATTTAGTACACTATAAATAAAAGTAGATGATAAAATTTGACTTAACCTAGTTGGCAGTTGATCCTAAATCTAAAATCCAATTTGAAATTATAAAAAGAAAAAATTCAAAATAATTGAAATACTAAATGCACAATTAAATAAAGATTTATCGAATTAATTTTGCTAATAAATACCTTTAAATCACTTTTAAATTTAGTTAAATTATAATTTATAATAATTTTTTATTTTAGATGTAAAGTGACAATTAATTTGATGAATTTTAATTCTTTTGAATAAATATTACCTAATATGGTAACATTAAAAATTTTGATATAACAGTGAATATTTGTCATTGATATAAAAGAGAAAATAAAAGAGTACATAATTTTTCTCCAAATAAAAGAGTTTTATATTAATCCTAAAGAAATTTGAAATTCAAACATTTGTATATTTCTCATTAAAAAATTGTATAACACTAACCTTCTTCGTCATATAAAAAAATAAAGTTATGCATATCCAATCAATCTTTCATCTATTTTTTTTGCTTAGAATAATCTTCCATAGGTGCTTTCATAAATTGAATGTAATTTTACGTTCTATCAATTGAAAATTTAATTTGTCTTTTATCTAAAAAATTTTATTATACATAAATTTTTATTATATAAAAATATTAAAATAAATAATTTTAAAAATTAAAATAAAATACATTCCTAATCTTGGTACATGTCATGTTTTCTTAAGAAAATTCCATTTCTAAAAATAATAAACACATTATGTAATACCTATACAATTTATAATGACACTACCAAAAAAACTGTTATTGGCAATGGATTTTTATCAAAGGAATTTTTTCGTCGCTAATTACTAATGGATTACTAATGAAATATTGATGAAAATTTTAGAATACTTTTATCGACGAATCACCTATGAATTTTATTGATGGAATAAAATCTGTAGGTAATCCATTGCTAAAAGTCTTGTGCAAATTGCCATCAATTTTACTAATGAATTTATTGACGAAAAAATCAGCTGCTAATTTGTCATTAAAAAAAATTCAAATTTTTTTTTGACATTATCAATGGTTTTATCGATGGAAAAATATGTCAATAAAAAATTAAAAAAATTTTGGACATTACCAATGGAAATTTCATTGGTAAAACCATCGATAAAAATGAAAATTTTTTTATTACCAATGAAAAATTTCATCAGTAAAACTATCTCTAAAATAAAAATTTCAAAACCTATCACTATTAGCCCCTTTGCCCCCAAATTCCCAAATCCCTAATTATCCCCCTTCCCTACCCTTTTCCCTTCCCTCTCTCACTGTCCCCCTCTCCTCTCCCTTTTTCTCTCCCCACGACCACCTTGCCACCGATGCCACCACCTTATCCCCTAACTAGCTCTGGTGAGTTTTTTTTTTTTTTAATGAGTTTATTTTATGTTTGTTTTTTTTTTTGTTGAGTTTAAGGTTGTTTAAGGTTTAATTTTTTGTTATAAAATTGATGAAATTTGTTTGAGTTTTGGTTGCCAATATGTTGAGTTTTTGTTAGTTAATTATTTGATGAAATTTATCTGGGTTTTGGTTTTATGTTGTTGAAATTTTTGTTGATTTTATGTTTGTTGAAATTTGTTTAGGTTATAGTTATACAGTTGTTAAAATTTATTGGTGATATATTTTTATTGGATTTTTAATTTGTTGAGTATTGTTAATTTTTGTTTGAATTTATTTTTAGTATTGGTTTTAGGGTTTAGTTATTTATTTTTTATTTGTGAAAGTTTTGTTGATATTTGTCGGGTCATGTTATATATTTATTAACTTTTAGATATATAAGATTTAGGATTGGTTAATTTGGGTTTAATGTGTATAAATATTTATATATTTTTGTATGGATATCTTATATTTAATATTTTCTAGATTTTAATAATAATTATATAATTTAAAATTATTTATATTGATTTGAGGTTATAATTTATATATTACCAATAACTATATCTCATTTTGAAGTAATTTATATATTATTAATATTTATATTTGTTTTGAAATAGTTTATATATTTGATAGTTTAGGGAAATTTATTGAAATATTGTGGTTTTATTGTATTAATCAAACTTAATATAAATAAATTATTTATTTATTAATTTTTAGATATATAAGATTTAGGGTTGGTTAATTTGGGTTTGATGTGTATTAATATATATATATATATTTGTATAGATGTTTTATATTTAATATTTTCTAGATTTTAATAATAATTATAGAAATAAAAGTTAGTTATATTTGATTTGAGGTTATAATTTATATATTACTAATAGCTAATGAGTATTTTGAAGTAAGTTATATATTATTAAGATTTATATTTGTTTTGAAATAGTTTATGTATTTGATAGTTTAGTGCAATTTATATATTACTGTAGACACCCTATTTAGTCCAGACCCAAGCCCATTGGGTCTGGTCCAATAGGGTTTGGGTCTAAGTCCATTGGACCCGGTTTAAGATCCAACTAGTAGGCTCAATTGGCTTTTATTTTTATTAATTTTTTTTATTTTTTTGGTTGATTTATCTGTTTTATTAGATTTATCATTAGTTTAACAAGATTTAGTGATAAAAAATAAAAAATATATCTTTGGTCTAAAATTGGAGGTTGTGGAGTTACTATAAGTTTTAATATGAGGTAGGATGAATTTTAAGTTTTGGATAACCCAGTCGAATGAGAACTTTGATTTGATCAAAAAAAAATTTGATATGGTCCTATAAACAACAACAAAGCAACGGAAATGAAAGAAGGTGAAACCAACCAACAGAAAACAACAACACGACGACTGGTAAGCAGCGAAGCTGAGAAAGTAGTAATAGCAGTGAAAAAAGAATATCGTCGGATTCCAGCTCATCTTCGACTTTCGGTGATGACCCCACCGATGTAAACCCTAATTTCGATCCCAAACTAATGGATGAACGGTTTGGTTTGTTGACATTGACTGAATCGGTCGGATTGGAACATAATCATCGTGAAAATGGCGATGGAATCGCTAATGGATCACTGAATCATGAGAGAATCAATGACGATGACAAAGACGATGATCGATTACGAGTGAAGAATGAGGAAATGTTTGGCGATAAAGGGTTTTTGAGTCCCAGCAGTAGCAGATACGCCGCTGAGAGAGGGAGCAGCAGCGCAACGAGCACGTCCAGGATCGATGAAGCTAGTGAGATTGACGATAGTGAGATTCAGGTAATGAGAGACGATGGGTCACTTGAAGAAATCACCAATTCTCAGGCTTCTTCTTGGGTGTCCGGTAAACGCCACGTCGATGAGGATGATGCTTCGATATCATGGAGGAAGCGAAAGAAGCACTTTTTTATTTTGAGTAATTTTGGCAAACCAATAAATTCCATATATAGTGATGAACACAAGCTAGCTAGTTTTTCAGCAACACTTCAAGCTATTATTTTTTTTATGGAGAATGAGGGAGATCGTGTCAAATTGGTGAAGGCTGAGAAACACCAGGTAGTCTTTCTTGTGAAGGGACCAATTTATTTAGTTTGCATTAGCTACATAGAGGATCTTTTTGAATCATTAAAAGGATAATTGGAGCTTATTTACGGTCGGATGATACTTATCTTAACAAAGTCGATAAATAGATGCTTTGAGAAGAATCCTAAGTTTGATATGACACTTTTGCTTGGAGGAACAGATGTTGTTTTTTCTTCCCTCATCCACTCATTTAGTTACAGGAGGCCAGAACGGAGGAGTCGAAAAAGCAATGGCAGTGGAGTTCACGACGATGAAGCCACAGCTGATGGTGGAAGCACCAAAGGTAGTTGATGCACTGTAATTTTACAAGACTGCGTTTGACATTATCGATAATAGCTATACTCTTTACCCCAAGTGCAAGGCTGAGCATGAGCTTCTTCATATCCTCTCTGTTCAGTTTGAGCTCGCTGGCTCTACTGTTCTTGTATCTGACATCGCTGGTAACTCTGCTCTTGTGAAAAGTGAAAAAACTGGATGTGTGCTTTGTATCAAGACTGAGGACATAAAAGCTGTTATAGCCAAAGTCGTGAGCGCTGAAGCCATTGCAAAGGGCGGTGACGCGTGCTGTGGTGGACACGTGGGCAAGAACAAGGCTTCATATGGATACAGTTGGCTCATTTGCTCTCTTACCAAGAATGTTGCTGACGTTCCTACATTGTTGGGATCTAGTTCCTTAAATATTTTTGAAGAAAAGTTAAAAGTATCAATTTTTCTTGAAAATAAGGTTTTTAAAAAATATATTTTTGAGAAAAAATTGAAAGTATCAATTTTTCTTGAAAATAAGCTTTCCAAAAAAGTATTTTTGAGAAAAAGTTGAAAGTATCAATTTTTCTTAAAAATAAGTTTTCAAAAATAGATTTTTGAGGAAAAGTTGAAAGTATCAATTTTTTCTGTACAAAAGCAATCATTTTTTTTCTTTTTATTTTCTTGGATTTTCTTTAAGGTTAAATAATCTGACTATGGAGCCTCTGCAAGTGAAACAATAATTTTCTTGCATACTCTTGAGGTGAGAAAATTTTTTTAATTTTTTTTTAAAAGTATTAGAGTCAATTGAGAATAATTTTTAATAGTTAATTATTTGGTAAATTTATGAGGCTTATTGGATAATATAAAATTAAGCTGGTACCATCTTTTGATGAGCATTGTGAGAGTGTTATAACCTTCCTCACATGTAACCGAACTCTCGAATCCTGTTTTGATTAGTAGACCCAAACCTATTTTTTTAATGACCCTTAAACTTAAGTGTTCCCTAAAATGATAGATTTCTTAGGTAGCCAATCGTACATAGATAAAAAAGATTGGTGGCGACTCCTTCAAGTCATTGTCTAGCGATAGATTTCTAGATCTAGACGTTATGACAGCTTGGTGACTCCACTGGGGACGTCCGAGAGTCAGGCCAGCAAATAAATTTGTGTTATCCAAAAGCCTAATAAAATTAAACTTTTTGTATAGTTTTTTGTCATATTTATTTACTTTGTTAATTCTGTCATTCATATGTATGTGTATAACATGAGCTCTATACTCGAGCTCCATCCTTTTATGAGAGAGTAAAGTACTTATTGCTTTCGTGAGGTTTAATGCCTCCGTAGTGGGTAACGAAATACTCCCACTCAAATTAAACCTTTTTCGCCTGTAGCCTGTAATGGGTGAGGATTGGGATACCTTACTAGTCTGTGATGGACAATGATGTAAGGAGCAATTTAGAAACCTTTAGACTTTAGCCTTGAACTACATATAGTGAACCTTAGAAGTGCCTAACCCTAAGATAGAGTTTTTTCTACCCAATAATAGATATACCCTGAAACTAAGACACAAAAAGGGTGTTTATCTAATCATTTTGATTGTCTGACTTTGTGCATCATTTTTATTATCATATGTAACATTATGCATCGACATCACTTTCATTTTATCTATGAAACTAACTATGTTGTTTGTCTGATTTTATGCATCTGCATTATTTTCATGATCATGTTTTAACACAATCATTTGCATCATTTCATATTGGATTTCATCCATAAAAATGTACATTTCATTCGTGCATCAACGTATCATACATAAAGCATAGCATAGCATTTCTAATCATAATTGTGATACTAAAGGTTTAAGGATAGCTCTACCAAGCTACCCCACTCACTAATACAATATAAAAGCTCGAGCCAGACAAATGAAATAAAAAAATTTCAATCATCTCGAGAGATTAGAGAAAGGTCAGGAGAAGTTAGAAGAAGAGTTGAATAAGATTTTAGAGGCTTTGAACAAGCTAAACAAGGAGAAGGCAATAGAGAAGAATGCTAGCCAACAAGAGGAGAATGACTCACTGTACTCTTTTAATTTCGAGCCACATCAAGTCTAATCTGCACAAGGTCCACCACTACAGCAGTTCACCTATTCTGTGAGGTACACATATCCTAGAATGCCATCAGCTTCAAATCAAGGATAGTACCAAAGTTATATAAATTTTATTTTTACTAAAAAAGTAGTAAAACCAATATCAGTCCTTAATTTGGATGATCAAAAAAAAAAAAAAAAATTAAGGCCCAAAGAGAAAAGAGCCTATAAAAGCCTTAAAAGCTAAATAAAATATAAACTTGTTAGAGGAAAAGTTGCGAGCAGTGGAGGGAGTCGATTTGTATGGCTTAATTGATGCTGTTAGATTCTGTCTAATCCCAGATGTGGTTATTCCTTCAAAATTTAAGGTGTTAGAGTTTGAGAAATATGATGGTACAAAATGTCTAAAAACTCATATTACCATATACTATCAAAAAATGGCTACCCATGCTAATAATGAAAAGCTATTAATGCATGTGTTCCAAAATAGCCTAATAGGCTCTCCTGTAAGGTGGTATGTCCAATTGGACAGGATCCGTATTCGTTCTCGGAGCGATATGACTCATGTTTTCATTAGTAAATACCAGCATATAATAGACTTGGCCTCTAATCATCTTTCTTTATAAAATATGAAGAAGAAAGCAACTGAATCATTTAAAAAAATATACCCAACGATGGAAGGATGTTGCTTCTCAAGTACAACCTCTTTTGACTGAAAAAGAGACTACCGTATTATTTATCAGCATTTTGAAATTTTCTTATTATGAAAGGATGATAGGGAATACCATAAAAAATTTCGTTGACATGGTGATTTCAGGCGAAATCATTGAGAATGCCATTAAAAAATGGTAAGCTGAAATGAGGAGAAACTAAGAAGGCACCCGAGAAGAAAGAGACTGAAGTTCAAGCTGTAGGTTTTGATAGACAGTTCAGGGGATATCAACCCTATCTACCCCAAGGTTACTATCCTACTGTGAATAATGCTTCATCTTATCCATACCAACCAGCCCCACAACCACCTAATTCATCCACATACCACCTATTTTTATCCCTCAAGCTCTCACATACAGCTTTAACATTCAAACTCCTGTAAGACCCTAAATTTATCCTGTTAGCCTGGCAAGTGATTTACGAGAGCAATGGACTATTCGAGAAAAGCTTATATTTGATCCAATCCCTATGATTTATATGGAGTTATATCGAAAGTTCTATAACAGCCACTTGATTACCCCAAGTCGTGTAGAGCCACTTAAGCCACTATATCCTAAGTGGTATGATCTTCAGCTCACTGTGACTACCACTATGAAATTACTGGTCATTCTATTAAAAATTATACTGCTCTAAAGCATAAGGTGCAACAGTTAATCAATGATGAAATATAAGTTTTGATAAAAAAAGAGCAACAACACTTAATGTTAGTGGTAATCCATTGTCAAATTACAATGTCAATGCTCTGAGTGAAAATCAAGAACATGTTGGTCAGAAAAGGCTCGGAGAGTCGTAATGAATCAAGGGGTAAGATGTCAATAAAGATCCTTTACTTGATTGCATAGGGACACAATTTTGGAGAATGAAAATAAGGCTGATTAAAAGTTTCTTATCATTTTAGGATTTCTTTTAGAGTAATATTAGGTTTCTTTTAGGCAGTAAGATTTCATTTGTTATCATTTCAATAAAAGGTAATTTAATGCATTTTATTACATTTTCTTTTTCATTCAACCATTGTTTCATACTTCGTCACCTTTCATAACTTTTCATTCCCATTCCTATTCTCAATGATGAATGTTTAAACAATAATGCTAACAATAATTCTGGGATTTAATTTTAAAAACTCATTCACATTTATTGGAGGAGATTATTTAAGTAAAAAAAATAGGTTACTAACAGATATGAGATGGATATATCTTGAAGATGCAGTCTTTTATAATGATCCATAAGCATATTTTTGTTCAATAGATGATGTTCAAGGAAAATATTCATATTTGAGATGAAAAATGGCCATTTTTCTTTTACCACTTGAAAAACCATTCATTGCTACCCCTTTGAGCCTACTATGATTTCTTTTTCTAAAAGAACCCCGACCAAGGATCACCCTCCACATTGGGGGATAATTTTTAAGAAAAAAAAGAGCCTAAAGATTAAAAAAGAAAGTAAAAAGAAAAAGAAGAGAGCAAATAAAAATACCACACCTGATTTGAGGCAAAGTAATGTGAATCTTTTTTATAAGGAGTTAGGTGAATGTGAAAAAGAAAAAAGTAGTGAAATAATGGGGTAAAATGCCAAGTTGCATCAAGTGATGATCCTTTGGTTTTGAACCCTTTTAATTTATATTTTGAGCCTATTATATCCATTTTTTATGACCCTTCACCATGGCCTACATTACAACCTTTAAAAAGTTCATTTGGATCAAATGTGGATGCTTAAATTGAATGGTCATATGTTGGGCTAAGACATGCTCAGGATGGAATGACAAGATCATGCTTCGTTGCTCTAACGATTGATGTGAAAGATGGGTGAACAAATGAAAGAAGGCAAAAAGAGAAAAATGAAAAAACAATAGAAAAAAATGAAAAAATGAAAAAAATGAAAAAATGAAAAAATGAAAAAATGAAAAAAAAAAAAAGAATGAAAATTGAAAAAGTGAAAAATGAAAAGAAGAGAAAATGAATACTCAAATTGAAAACTCGAGATGATGATTTGGGTAGAAAAAACATCTAAGCCAAAAG